GGCTGAAGTGGAAAGGTCACTCTCATCAGGGACAGTGACAAGGATACTTGTATCTGAGGATGGTGGCAAATCTTTCACAACAGTGAAGGGCCGAGTCCCGACAGGTTCGCAGAGTTTGCATTTGTTCCTTTCTCCAAAACAAAACAATAAAAAGAATGCTAGAAGCCTAGATCGGTAGAACTGCATCAATTGTTTCATCTGCGTGCACCTTCGGTTTGAGGGGATAAGGGTCTACAGGCTTACACCATCAGTTCCCGGGGCAACATTTGAAAAAGCACCTGCCGTTTACGGGGCAGACCAGAACAAGAACCGACCTCTCTCACATAGTACAAGATAGCGCAGCGGAAGGCTTAAATACCAATGATCCGAACAAGCAATGTTGTAATGCAGACCAAACATACATCATCATCATTCCATGGTGTGAAGGGGCCTGGCGCTCACACAGGAAGAATGCGCCAGTCCCCAACCATACACAGACGAAGAAGAGGGGGGTTAGACGAAGAAGAGGGGAAGACGGGAATGTCGTCAACACCAAGTCTTTGGTACAGGTCCCAAATAATCCCTCGTCAAATGTCTGAATCCCAATGTCGAGTCTGGATTCAATATCGTCAAGTCCCAAAGTCACCAATCTCTCTCTCTCGTAGTCCGCAGATACTGAGAAGTCAGGTAGCGAGAGGGTGAGGAAGAGATGGTGAACTTAGAAGAGGAAGAAGAAGAACTCTCTCTCTCTCTCAGTCCGGTACTAACCTGTGAAGGTGGCGCCTTGTTGCAGGTACATCGAAGACTAAGCTGGAGCTATGGTGCCACAGGTAAGTCTCCCTGGCCTCCGCCAACCATCTCTCTCTCTCCAATGCTACTCTAGCTCCTAATAGCGCCTAATGCTACTACTACTACTGCAGTGCTCCTCCAGAGTGCTGATGCCGAATCCTGAAGACTGCCTCCTGCCTCCTGCGCGTGAAGTGCCTGGGAAGTTCCTATGAACTGCCTCGTGACTACCTGCAGGCTGTAGGGTGGGCCAGTCTTATATAGTGCTGGCCCGTCCAGGAGGCTGCTCTTGCCAATGCCAAAACGTGCCAGACCCTGGCGTTGAAGTTCAAACAAAGGTTGTCTTGAAAACAGGCCCAAAATGGCCTGTGCTAAAACCCTGGTCTGGTGCCTAAGTTTCAGGGCAGGTCGATCTTATGAGGGCCTGAAAATGGCCCTCCGTTTCAGGCTGAAAAGACTCAGGGCCTGGAGGGCCCTGTTTTAGGCTGAAACGACATAGGGCCTGTAGGCGCTTTTTTTCAGGCTTTCAGGCTGAAAACGACACAGGGCCTGTAGGCCCTTGTTTTCAGGCTTTTAGGCTGAAAACAACACAGGGCCTGTAAACCCTTGTTTTCAGGCTTTTAGGCTGACAACGCTGGTCGGTCCCTGCAGGCCCGTGTGGCTGCGCAGTATGCCACAGGGCCGCAGGAAGCGCCCGAGTACTCATCGTGAAAGGCTGACGGCGCTGGGCAGATCGTGCACCGCAAAAGTTCGGATTTCTTAGGGCTGGGCAAAAATCAGCATTCACAGTTTCAGTCCAAGGTTTCTGCGGCTCTCTGAGTATTGATGTTTGTTTGTCTGATTTGCTGAAGATTTACGAGTTCGAGTGTGGCTGTTGTTTTGCTGTGTCTTTGTAGGACTGAAATGGACACTAGACAGGCTGAGAAGGAAGTCTATAAGATGGATAAGGACAAAAGTAGAACTTGGCAGGTAAGCGGTAGGATTTTCCAGCAACTTGGGTAGGCTTAGAAAGGTCCACTAGCTTCAAAAGGGGTCATGATGGTCCAGGGCCGGAAAGTCGGTAGATATCAGGTATCAGGTTGGGTTCAGGCCCTGAAAGTGGATTGCAGACTGTGGCGATTTTGGCAGGAACTCCCAGGAGGCCTAGTGCACTGGTAGAGGCCGAAGTGGCCGGAAACCAAAGAGGAACTGGAGGCTTGGAGTCATGAATATACCTTTGGTGCAACGAGTAGGCTGGCACATTCCACCGGCAGTCATGCTGCTGCTCAACCGCGAGCATGAGTTCGGCGGAGCTCTGGGTTGAAGTGGTGGAGCCGAGGGTGATGCAGAAGAACTCCATGTCTATGAACTTGTAGAAGTAGAAGGGAGTAGGCCTAGGCTATGGAGGTAGAGGGAGAAGAACCTCAAGCCAGGCTAGGCGGAAGAGATTAGAGGTTGAGGGAGAGGAAGATGGACAGAACTGACATGAGAGACTTACTTGCCTTTGGCTATGGTGGACCTTCATCTCCACTTCCTTGGTCGGCGTTGTACCTAGACGGCCCCTGTTGTGTGGCTATGGTGACATGAGATGGGATGTGCCACCATATGTAGATATGCAACAGAGAGCAGAGGAGTAAGAGTGAGGTCGAAGGGAGAGTTCCTTGTGTGCTGGTGGTAAGGGGGATTATTAGGCCATTGATTCTTGTTCATTGATTCATTATCACTGCAATCTTCTGTTTATAGGAGTCCGCGAAGATGATGTGAGGGACAAAAGAAGGAAAAGACATTGGTTCAATCTTGTGTATTTATTCCTCTTTCCTTATCCAATTGCAAGGAACATGAATATGGACGAAGCACAGAAATCCAGATTGCAAAATCACACTGTCCAAGTAGTCAAAGCAAGAGCAGATAGCACACTGGAACCGAGTAACCATCCATTTGAGAACGATACAGAATGTCCATGCCCAACAGGGCAACACCAACAGCATAACCCAATGAAGCTCTCTCTCCTGAATGGCGCCAGGCGCCCTATCTACTCTACAGCCTAAGCCTACAACTACAGCAATGAAAGCAACCAGACAACTTGACGACCAGCGAGTGATGATGTCAACACCAATGCCAACCTCCCACCTCCACCAGGTACGTCTCCTTCTTCACCCACACTCTCCCTTGTTATCCCACACAGCGCCCTTCACCTCCTTCTTCACCCACACTCTCCCTTGTTATCCCACACAGCGCCCTTCACCTCCGAAGAACCACCTTCTCCCTCACCTCCCCTGCGCCCTTAGGCAGCCCGGCTATGGCCGCCAGCGCCCTGTGCACAGGCAGCGCCCTACCGCCTAGCGCCTGCCTGCCTCGCACCTCATCCTAGCGCAGCGCAGCAGCTTGCATTAGCGCAGCGTGCCGGCATTGCCCGCAATGGCCAAGATCCCTGCCCACTCCCCCTGCTTGCCTATATGCCAGTGTTGCGTGTGGGCGGCCTCCCTTCAGCCTGCGTCTGGGTCCCAGTCGCTGAACCCAGGCCCGATGCAGTTGAGGCCCGGGGGATGCAGTTGCACCTCTTTCGTCAAGGCCTGCGGCCAGATTCAGATGGTGGGCCGATTTCCCTTAGGCATTTTCGGCCTCTATACCCAGCATGCATTGTCAGCCTCACGTTCAAGTGCCCAGGGCCTAACTAACTCAGAGGCCTTGGGTTTTCCCCATTTGCTGAGATCCGAGACTCGGTGCACTCCAACCAACTGGCGTGCTGCAACTGTATGGACCCCACTTCGTGAAATGTTT